CGTCATTCATGAAAAACTGTCTTATAAGCCCCTCTTTAGATTGAGGCTTTCAGAAGTATATCTGAGAATTATCTGTGATGCAGCCTCCTCTTATTTACTCGAATAACATTTTCTGAGCTTGTTACGCAAAACAGTTGAAGCAGTCTGATCAAAACCAAGTTTTATTGCTTACACAGTTTACATTGTAAATTGAAATCCAAGCGATGTGATGTAATATAATTTGTTGGAAATAGGACTAACTGAAACAAGGATATTAGTGTTTTAGTATTTACGTGTTGAAATTTAACTTGATAATTAAGGAAATTAAGTAATGTTTGGCAATAAAGTAAACCTATTTTAGTGTAAAATGTAGCTTTTTTGAATATATTGGGAAATATTTAACATTCTAACAGAAAATTGAACTCTGTAAATGCATAAACACTGTCAGAGTGGTTTACCTGGTTTCCATAGGTAAAAGCCATAAGTTCATATTAGGATGCAATTCGTTCACTTCATTTTATAGGCATTCATAGTCTTGAAATCATTAGTTGACGAACACAATGATTTTCTTTGAGGTACTTTGAAAACATTGAGTAGTTATTAAATAATTTTCCGTTGTATGTAAACTTAGTCGAAGATGACAAACAGTAAAATTGGTTCAATGTAGTTCTTCAGGAAATTAATTCACTTTTTACTTAAGTAAACTTATTTTGAAAATTTAAGTTAATCACGCTCAAATGAACGTTGAAAATCGTTGTATCTTAGTTAAGTAGTCCTCAAAAATTCACATCTATTACCATGTTAGTGATGAAGACTAGAAATATTTGGTCACTTAAAGCATCAGTCCATTCCACTTTAACCCATTTACTGAATCTTATTTAAAATATTTGGGGGAGGGTGTTGTAACGTGAATTACACTAAATTTATTTCTATTGGTTAACAAGTTGATATTCCATTTGGACAGCTTTTTTTCATCATAATAACTTCGGGTAAACTTCTAAATGGATCTATGTACATATCAAATGTATAAAAACACTAATTCAGTGAGTTGTACAACTTTTTATCCTATCTTGTTTGCTGATAAAGGTAGTATTATATTCACTTTGTTGTTTGTTATTTACCCGATCAAGTGTAAATTATGATCACATGATGAATTCGAATGTATGACAATAAAATGTACATCACTGACATCATGTGCATAGAAATCAATTAACCTAAATGCATCACCAAACTACAAAAGCTATTTAGCTTAAAATGGACAACATTGTTTGATTTTTAATTTATTTGAGTCTAAATGTTTTGTTATCAGAGATGATATGTGATATAATCAAAAAATAAATATTACAAAGTTTATACACACAGTTTTAAGCCTAGAGGATGATTCGTCCTACGAAGCTGTTTACAGGAGTAGCATCAAGATAAAAAACACCGAAGGTGGCTAATCTAAGAGATTATATCAATCTGTGAAGTAATCGGTTACTAATGTTAGCAGGTCGTTAGTTAAGCTGTACTATATTTGATAATATACTATGATTAACCTTCAGAATAATATGCGTTTCTATATACAATTGATTTGATCTCTACAAATGTTAATATTGTATTAATTAAAAAAAACAAGATACTTCGTTTTCTTCTTTTTTATATTGAGGGAATATTTTTCAGTGTATATGTGTGTATCATATCTTGCAAAACTCTTGGAATCATTCTACATTCATTAAGTTTATCCGTTCAAATTGCTTTACACAAATCGTATGAAATTGTTTCAATAATCCAGTAGCAATAATTATTCAAGGTGCTTGGATAGACAAAGGTTGTACTGTGAAAATAAATTACTTGGTTTTGTTTTAAAGCTTATCAACTGTTAGGATGACATCAATTATTTCACAATTGATTGATCACTGGGTGCTGATCAATGTCATGTGTGTCAAGTCCTTAGTTAGTGCAGATCGAATGCTGTCGACCAAGTTGCAATGTGGCCACTAGCCTAGGTGACTTGACATTGCGTGCACTATGTTGAGATGAGAGGGTGGTCGGAGGTAGTCGACAGGAAACCCTGGACTCGGATTTCGTGCTACTTGGCACTCATCAGCAAGGTGTACCTGTAATGTTGAGGGAACTGGTGCTCCCTGACGGATAAGATCCCGTGTCACCCAGGTTCACAATCCGAGACTCATTTGATCTGCAATAAGAAGGACTTGACACACATGACATTGATCACCACCCAGTGACCAATCAATTGTGATAACATCTCAGTCCTACAGGCGGTCTGTCGCGGCCCGGATAGCTCAGTGGTAACGTCTCTGAATATGAAGCTGGGTGACAAAGGATCTAATCCGTCAGGGAGCACTAGTTCCCTCAACATTACAGATACACTTTGCTGATGAGTGCCGAGTAGCACGAAATCCGAGTTCAGGGTTTCCTGTTGACTACCTCCAACCACCATGATATCAATTATTTGTTTATATTTTTTCTTCATAATCAGCAAATAATTTAAATTGTACAGCAATCTAGAGAAATCATTTAATTTTCTAGAAAAACTAAATGAAATTTATAATGAAGTACACAAGAATCTGTATACGTAAACTTAGAGGATAAAGGAAGTTCAAACGAGACATGGTGTAGAAATACTTCATCGACGACCTTGATTAATCTCAGAATGACCTTATGAAAACTTATCTGATTGTAAGCCAATCATAATACAGGTTATATAAACGGATAATTTATTATAGAAAATTTATAATTTACATGGAACATTGTGAAACTCAACAAACATCCTTAACAATTACCTGAAACGCATAAGCATTTAATTATCGTTACGAATAGTACCTACATTTGTAAAGGTGTCTTTTGTAAATTAACTTACATACCATGTCATATACGCTGTATGTTTGAACAATAGTTATATTTATTAGTTTCAAACTAAATATAAGAAAGTTTTATTCAACTTATGATAAATTATAAGGTGGTTAGTTAGAGAAGATCTACTCACTGTTTCCTCGTGGAGGGGGGTGTTGTTCACGAAATTGAGAGGACGAGAAGCGAATATTTGGAGCCTTGACCGGTCGGTGGATAAGGAAGACCCACCTAGGGAAGTTGGAAAACCCTGATTCCAAACCAATGGTGCACATGGGCTCAAGGATCGTGAGGGGACAAAATGTGAATGAACCTATTGTCGGTCACCGGCTACCATGGGACTGCATCTCCTGACGTTGCTCCACTGCCTTGTGGATCAGACCTTTAGGTCGAAGGCTCCGGGTGTGGCTCCCTAAGAAAACCACCTGCTTCGGTCTAGGGCACCCGGGCAGTATTACAGCTCACACATAAATCAAGTGACTTGTGTGGCGCATATGTATTCAGTGTCCCTTCGTACCAATATTTGTGTGTCCAAATAATGAATAAATAAATGATTTTCTAGATTACTTTAGGTAGTAATAAAAACTATCTTAACATTAAATTAGACTGATTTCTAGTATGTTATTTGCATATTTGTGTGAATTCCTTGTTATTATTGGACGCAAAACATCTGTTTTTAAATTTCTTTGAGTATCTCTTACTGTGGATTTTTGAAAGAGTGGGGAAATTGAAACAGATCATATTGTGTCGTAATGAAACATGGTTAGGCTTGAAGACGTGAGTAGCCTCATTGTGAACTAGCTGATTATTTAGCTGTCTAAAATCCATGTCTACATACTTTTGTTTGAGTTAATTCACTGTTTTTACTCTTTCATGGCTGAATGAGCAAGTGCTAGGATGCATATATTGAATTCAGTTAAACCGAAAGCTATAAAAAAATGCATTGAAGATAAATAATTCAGATAACTCTTACCGACACCTGGTAATAAAGTACTGAATAAGTTTCTAATAAAGATGTGCTTCAGGTGTTTGAGACCAAATTAAAACTTCCATCGTATACCAGTTATTCAAGAACTTCCCCTAAACTTCATTAAAACAACAGAGAGTATGTATTAGATTTGAGTGAAGTAGCAGTTTTCTTTGCTATTTTCAGTAAAAATAGACAGCTTGTTAACTAATTCACAGTTTGTTCTAATTACAAAACAAATTAAGATCTCATAGATGAAAATCTGTTCATCTTTCAAAACAGCTTCTATCGTTGAATGTAATAGATTATCGAATATGTGAACTTCAGATTTGTAGCAAATACATTATCTTTAAACCATTGAGTTTACATTTGAGGTTCACATTTTCCACTTAGTCAATCCAATATATAGAGAAGGCATCTTTTATTGCTATTAACAATGTATTAATTTTTAAAATTTTGATTTTATGGTTTCACAATGGACTCCTCAGCAGTACGCATTCACGATCCCACCCAAAACCTGCCAGTCTTGCGCGCGAACGCCTAACCTCTAAAACATTAAGCCGGCATTCAACAGTGTTAATATCTAACTTCAACCAATCCACGAAATTGTGCAACCATCCACCATTGTCTTCAATGATTTACTATTTCACAACAAACCTGACTGAACTCCACTGGTCATGACTTCTCACTAGAATTCCAGGAAATATCTCTTGAAGCCAGTTACTAGTGAGTAGATGATGATTATTATCAAAAAAAGTTTTATGAATTTCTTGAAGTTTTCAGTCTTCAGTGAGAAGATGATTAATACTAAAAAAAATATATTTATATGTATTTATGGAATTTATTCTATTTAAATATATAGTTTACTATACAATTCAACTTTAGATATACAATTAATGAAAATAAACAATCATTGTATAATTATTTCTCTATATTACAATAAAATATTCTACATTAATTATTTTATCTTTACAATAAAACGAAAACTCTACTATTCAATGTTTAATTTTTTTCTTTAATCAATGAAAAAAAAATGCAAAAAAAAATGTTTTGTAATTGAATATGAATGAATAGAAAACAAGATTAGAATAAATAATTCAATAAATCAATAATTATTGAATTTAATTAAGATACATGTTTTAACATACATAGTTACTATCAAATCTTATTATCTTAAATACAAGAAAATAATAATAATACAGTGAATTTAATTTAATACCCATTAAAAAATTACAGATAATCTCTTTATTTTATAGAATTATGTATAATAATTGTATCTAATGAAACATTGATTCTTTTTATAATATTCATTAAGATTATTTAACAATACTGATAGAATTGACAACAGAAATAATGAAGATAGTAATTCTAATATAAATAATGATAATAGATTATCAATTGAAATACTAATCAAATTTATTTATTTATCTTTTTTTCGGATTAAAAATGACGATCCAGAGCCTCAAGATATTTAGAATCAATAGCTTTAGGAATAAGTGTATGTCTGAAATAAATTTTGAAAAAAATTGTTATTTGTAATGTTAATCATTCATTGGATAGAAAAAAAAAAGAAAAAAAGACAGGACGGGGGTGTAATTAGATAATTATCAGTACAAAGAAAGGTAAGACTATAATTTATGGATGACATGTGAGCGACACTAAAATGACCTTCAGAGTGTTCACTTAATAACTAGGATGAACTGAGGGTTGTAAATTAGTATGAGGAATTAGAATTATGATTTACAGTTTTATGGTTAAGATTAAGAATTAGATTTAGGGTTTTCATGACGAACTGACATTAGTTATAATGTTTAGACGGTATTTAATCAAATGGATGAGCGAAATTCGCTCCAAAGTTAGAAATCTATTATCTTATACTTAATTGGTTCATCTATAAATTATAATCTCGACAAAAGAAAAGTATTGATTGTATAACAATTCAGAAAATAAATATATGAATATAATGAATATGATCAAATTTTCAGTGATTGAATACAAATTAAAGTTGATATATATTATTTAGATTAGTGGAATTTTTAAAGAATATGTAAAGATATGTACAGTCAGTATATTTATTCAATATGGTGTTGAGGCTAATGTCCTCAATATCTGACTCCAATAAATAATATCCCGTTAACCGAGTATTTAATGCAGGTTAAATCTCCTGGTAGAATTGCGGATTTTACGCGAGATTATTCAAAAGCTTGAACACCAGTTGTAGAGATAATTTATTGTTAATGATTAATAAAAATCCGCAAGCATACAGCGAGCAGGCACACAATGAAACAAAGTGAGTGAGTGTGAGTATGTGTTAGTCTGTGTGTTGAAAATCCATATATATTTTTGAGAGTTAATCGGGTGTGGATAAATTACCGATTATCAGTACATTGCAACCAATAGGAGGATAACTTAAGGGGTTAATGTACAGACATGCATTCGATCATACACACTGAAATTAACATAGTGAATTAAGAGTCTGAAATGCACACAGAAATTAACATGATGAATTAAGTCTATGAGTTACAATGAGTAGACAAATGATGCAGTGGTCAAATGGCCTTGCCACAATGGATTCTCTTTCTGAAAACTAATGTCAATTAATTAACTATTTTTTTTACCAGAAAGTAATTTTATTATATTGTCTTTATTACAATTAATATAGCTTCTAGTTATGGTGTGTGATACTTATATCGACATGAGTAGTATAAAACGATAGTCATGATTAGAATGTCTGGGAGTAGAAGATGGAGAAGGAAAAAATGGGAACAGAAATCAATTGGTATGAAAACACAGAAACAATGAAGTACTGAGAGGATTGATTGATATTTGCAAGATGGACAGTTAAGTTTGAGACAATTGATTAACATTTTGCAAATGAAGTATTTACTGTATGATTCTCATATTTTAATAAGGGATTCTGTAATTTTGTGGTCGAATACATTCACCACATGTGTTCTCGTTCACTACATGGTTACGTACAAAGTCAAAGTTTCGGTAGTTATATAACAATATGGAGTAAATGACTTTGTAATATATTTATTGGTGGTTTTAACATAATTGTAAGAGGCTTTTTTTCTATAAGTTAACTTTTTAAAAGTTTGATAATACAATCAAGTATTTGATCAATTTTCTCTTTGTTAGTCATCATTTTATCATATTTCCGTCTATGTAAACATTATCAATTAAAACTGATAGAAATGTCATTTGTTTACTAATCTGAAGTAAATTATCATACCTAGTCTCTTTGAATGTTTTAAGCGTTTTCTTCCATCTATTTTTAATGATTGGTTTTATCAAATGATTTATATGTAATACACAAATAAAAATAATAATTGTAGTTCAGATATTTTGATATTAAGTACCGTGCTGATCCAGTTGAAATACACTAAAATTATTTAACTAGTCACCATTTACTAGTCGACTTCAGTGAAGATAATCACTTTTATTGATAAAATGTAATACATTACACAAATGCTAACCATAAAAATCTAGCTGTTTCAGAATTTTTCAGAATCTTTTTTATTTTATGGCTGTAGCTCGCTTAGGATATGGGTCACGTCGCCTGATTAAATCGAATTATATCAACTGATGTATTCATCGGGGTAAATAATTAAAAGTCAAATAGATAATGAGTTACTATGAATGTCATATCTTTACTACCAACAAAAAGCATATTTTTTAATCTTCAAAATAAAAAGAAATCACTAGCTTATTTTGCTCTTTTATAAATTGTACCTGTGTATTTTTAAAAAAGAGTTTATGACTACCTATATCAGTAAACTGAATGATTATTGATAACTGTTTCTAATGTGACTAAAGTTTTAAAACTAAATTTATACTATTAAAATAACTAGTGGGTATGTTGAATCTTTGAAACACATGAAGTGAAATAAATTGATATTAACTCCTAAAGTTTTATGTTCTTGGTATATAAACATGAGTTTATTGGGAAAATTATTTTTTTTCCAAACAGAAGACTTCAATCATAGATTAATCATTGTGTTTTGCTTATCTGTTAGATAGATATATTTCAATGAACTTTGAATTAACATTGAAATTATGTAGAGACTGCAGAATTTTCACAACTAAAATTACGATCTGATCTTAGTTGAATTACCACTGAAAACTTAAAAGAACTGGACAGACTTTTCAATCTAATGTAAAGTACAACAACAGGCAGGAAGAATGTGCATTTATTGATAGAAGTTACAAAGTATTTACACGATTATTCTACATAACCTTCAATCGCTCATTCGCATCTTTCGGTGTGTTCCATCATCTGAATTGTTTTCTCGTCTGGTCTTCAAGTGTTCTTCAAACATTGTGCTTTCTATGCACTGAAGTGTTTCATTCCGTCTGACAGCTGTTGCAATTTTGGTGAGATGTTCCGCCATATACTGCTTACAAACAATCTTGTGAGTAGCATCCAATATACTAGTAACGGACATCTCAGAAGTATAGACCCACGCCCTTGTATCCATGGGTCGAATTTGGGATCTCTGATGTCATGTGTGAACGTTGAAACTCCAGATCACTGAGCCGTCGTCCAGTAGTATAATGAGATTAGATAAATACAATAAATCAATTGGATCTACTTGATTATTTTTAGTTGTTTCAATATTTGTATATCCTGTATATTATTCATAGCTATGAAGCCACATTTCCTTATTTTCAAGTGTTTCATTATGACGATTTATTCGGTTTTATTTTTTTTGTTAGTAATACATAGGTTCTTGTTGAATATTTAGAGAAAACAATATTAGATTGTAATTTCTTACCTTAAAACTATTTGTAAAACAAGTATTACAGGAAATATTAATTTCACATATGGACTAGGTGCGAATCCAAATGCACATAGAAATCCCAATTGTATTAACTGAAAAAATGTGAATAAATGGAGTTTTCTTTGTGGTACACGTCTTATGTAATGTGATGGTGGATAAGCCGACTAAAATAGAAAAAAATCAAGATGGTAAGAGGATGTATCAAAATATATATGTATACATAAAAGATCACTGATACTATGAATAAAATAAATATTTTGTTTGTATTGGCAATTGAATTTTGTAGTTGAAGAATGCTATGCCAGAACGAGATAACTGTGCAGTGCTTCCTAGTTTTTAATGGTCGTCTAACTAAGGTTAGTTCGTTGTGTAAGTTATAAAATTTGGTAACTCCATAAAGCCTTATTCAAGTAATAATCACTTGTTTACTAAAAACTACTTATTTAAAGTGCTAATACTTAAGGTAGCTGTGATCAGTGGAGCTCAACTATTTTTAGAAGCTTGGCACTCTGGTCAATTAGTAATCAACATTGAATTCGATCCAATTTATCAACTAATCAGAAAAATTATGGACAAATATAGGACCAAAAATCAAATCAATAGGAGATACAATCAAAATAAAAAAGTAAACAATGATAGGTTAAAGGTCAACAATAACCAATCAACATCATGGTCTACAGGACAAGCTGTAAGCCATATGTGGAAGGATTCGAACACTTCACTTCTACCTGAAGTTTGTGTCGATGATGTCGTTTAGAATAATGATGAAAGATCCACGACCAAACCATCCAGCTCAGACAACAAAACTCCATCAAAATCATTTGATGTATGTTTTACAGTTTTAAAAAATCAAAATTTTTTTTAGATTCATCTACTACTTTGTGAATTGTATGTTAATAACTTCGATGAACCAGAAATCTAATAATTAATTTAATTTGTATGTACAGTAAACAAGTTCGCACTTCGTTATTTAATTTACTACATCATGATAACGTCTAAAAAGCGTAAACATCTCATAGTCTAGCAAGTTGATGTATAGTGACGAGCTCCGTTCAGATGTGTATTCAACAATGATCTTTTGTGTCGCGATTCTGTCTGTAAACGACCGATCCTTACGGACTCCAGCCTGTTGATCTCGAAGTTGGGTGTCTACTGAATCTTTCATTCGGTTCAACAATACTCTTGCAAACTTTTCTTGGTTCCGTTAGTAATAGAAATTGTATACATGATTCACACATAGAGTATAATATAATTCCTAACCCACGGATAATGTGATCTTGAAATTCGCTATTACTGAAAAGTAATACCTATTGAGATTAGTTATAGAGCTCTAAGACTGTTGTAAGTAAAACTAATAAGTTATGTTTTTGAGAGAACTTCCTTCAACAGTGAAAAATTACATAGATGCAAATTAAACAGAATTTCCAAAGTTTATCACTTGGTTCAGGTTCCAATTCACGGTAGAAATCTAACATCAAGATACATGTGGAGTATGTCAACCAAATTTAATAAATGATTATTATGATTTTGTAGTTGAATACATGAGTCATGGAGAGTCTGGAAGCACTGGACGGCCGTTTCGTCACAGTTTGGGAACCCTCAGTAGTGCACATCCATGACCCCGCCCAAAACCTACCAGTCTCGCGCGCGAACTCTTAACCTCTGAACCACGTCTAAGTTCAACCAATCCATGAAATTATGCAACCATCCACCATTGTCTTCAATGATTTATTATCTCACAACAAATCTGATTGAACTCCACTGGTCACGACTTCTCACTAGAATTCCAGGAAATACCTCTTGAAGCCAGTCACTAGTGAGGAGTCCCATACTAGGACGAAACGGCCATCTAGTGCTTCCAGGTTTTCCATTGTGGTCTAGCTCCAATTGACTCATGAATTCAACCATAAAATTAGTAAAATCTCCACAAACTACTCTTTTGATAATAGTTCTTATAGAAGTTTTATTAAACTTTAAACTAATATATTTGAATAACCTTTTCCTTTTATTTTTAGCGGATAGTGATATTTTGGTCATGGTTAATTTAGATATAATGTTGTATTTTACTGGAACTGACTTCCTTTTTAGTCAATACTGAAGAATACCACTTTGTTTCAGCAGAAATACATCTTCATTAAATTGGGAAAAAGTTATATTGTATAAAAGATGAAAAAGAAAAAAGAAGACTTTATACTACTTAGTGATAGTACTTACTTGTTCTGTAATAAAAAGTAATATTCTTTCAAACATTTGATTGCCTTGTAAAGCTGTTATAGCCATATAAATAAATAGACCATTTAATACAGGTGGAGGTATATAGATCAATGGATAAGGTATCATCGCTAGTGATAATCCAATGAGTACATGTGAAATAAATAATGTTAATCTTGTTTCACGTACTCGAATAACACTGAGCAAAAGAGAAGAACATAGGGATATTTTTTCATAAATAACTGTAAAATAAAAAACACTATATATATATATATATATATATATATATATATATAGCCATTATCTAGTCCCATATATAATCACTGGTTAAATAATATATCTTTGTTTATGGTATCTACGTTGTTAATGTTACCAAGATGTTTTGAATAATCTCCCTTAAAAACATTATTTCATAATAAATTTTTATGCAATTAGTTTGTATTTTTAAATCCGATATTTAGTAGTTGAAAGGAATTAACAGTAAGCTGTGTCCTTTATGTTTCTTTTTGACTGACACCGATAAGTAATAGTGTCTAAAATCTTGAGGGAAGCGATACCCATATTAAGATTTAAGTTGATTTCATCCTGAGTTATAGTTGAAAACGTTACAAATGAACTGTTCTGGTGATGACTGATCTATCGTAGCACTGAAAATTTTACGGGAATTCGTTGAAGATGAGAATGAGGATGACAGATTAACTAGTACGAAAAGTACATTCTAAGATTTCTGATGATCGTGTCTAACCACTTGACATCTGCTTCTTACTCTCCCAGAAATTTTTTAGTTTATGCCTCAAAGATAGAATTTTAACGTAAAACAGATATTTCTATCGTTAACATTTAATATGGGTAGTTAACTTACTAGATGCTGAGTTAATAAAACAGAGACAAATTTGGCAACTGTTAAATTCTAGCACTGTCGTCAAATGAGTTATTTTTGCTGGTGTTTTATGATTTTCACCATCTTATGAATGAGTCAAATTTTATTCTGGATTCAATCGAAAATGAAACTTACGTTTGTTTAATATGATGTCCACCGTCAACATGCTCTTCCATATCCGCTAAGGCTTTCACGTGTAATGGAGTATGAGGTAAAGCTGCATGAACCCATGGAAGACAAAATATTGATAATATAATGTTGATAAGTGCTATGACAAACAAATCCCAATGATTTGATGGTCCTTTTCTTAGCCTATGATAAACAAGTAAAGTAAATTAAAAGAGGGAGGCTGAAAATTCTTATCTTATGTGAAGTAATTAATACTAACAACTATTCACATATTACGAAAGAGCTAGGAAGGTAATGACTCTTGCCAATCAATAGTAGTGATTTTCCATACAAGGTACATTTTTATTAAATATTGATTGATTTTTATCAATCCCAAAAATGATTTCCATTGACCGAACATTTCAATCAAAGTGTCCTCTTAGCTAAAGTTCCTACTCATATAGTTTATTAAGACATATTACTCAAGGCACACTAAGCTATCTTGAATTGATCGAAAAACAGATTTCTTGTTGAGTCTAACAAGAAATCTGTTTAACTGATAACAACTTCCTCCCTGTATTGCCGTGGTGCGTCTTAACTAATAATATTGTAATTCAGCTCGCTGAGTGACTTGACATAACGAAAATAGAAGAAATTTTCCAATGAATATTTCCACAAGAGACCAGTAAGAAATAATTGAATTAATTTAGTGACCGTTTTAATCTTCAACAGTAAAATTCTGAAATATGATAACGAAATAATTATATAATATTTTATGGACCTTAAAAGACCTTTTATCTATAGAAGAGCTGATCAGTATGGGTGTCAGCATTAAATGCCCCGATTGTGGTCAATATTGAATCAGGAAATCCTGCCTCATCTAAATAATTTATTAACATTCTTTTAGATAATAATTAAATCTCATAGTATATAAAGTCGAATTTCACAGCACACATAGAACGATGATCATTGTTTCAAGCAGGAAATTGTATAAAGCGATAAGACAAGTTAATTTTGCAGCAAATGATTTCTCGGAAGTATTGAACAGTGAAAGCAACAAGAAGTTGATCAAGGTCATTCAGACCTATGCGATTACAGTAAGCTGTCTGAACTAGCTAAACTTCAAGAAAATAATAGGAAAAAATTAATGATGGCTGTCTCTGTTAAATCGCCAACCATGATTATATTTTTGCTCAACCATCAACTTCATGAGCTGTATAAAGTAAATACTGATCTGAAATTATTTTGTCTCATGGATGAATAAATTGTATTAGAACTCAGTTTTATTGGTTGAAATTATCAACTTAAATACACTATTGATACTATTTCAAATGTTAGTACTATTAACATTAATAATGCATTATAACTAAGAGGAAGCGTTACTTCTTGATCGTTTATAATAATAGTTTAACCAGTCAAAAGCTAAAGAATTTTACTACAGTTAAATACTTGAAAACACTTTATTTTTTACATCATATCACAGTAATTTCAGTTCTTTGCTTCAATCAACTGAAAAAAATACTAAAAATACCAATTTGAATCTAAAGCTTAACATTTACTGTTGACTTATTAATGGAATGTTAATAAGAATTTTGTGTAAAATATAAAGAATATCGTGGGATAAGACATTGAATAAGATCAAGTTAAAACTGTTATTAATTCATCTTATATTGATTGTTTAAATCTTCCCACTAATGTTTAGCATTGTAATTGATAAGTCTAATATTGACATATGTGCATGCTGTCCAGATTGCTTCAAGTCACAAAGATAATGAACAGAAATGTATAATGGCTAGTAATGGAATCCAGGACGCGCGTTTCATTCTATTACGGACCGGTCAGTTGGATGTATCTGCATCTCAGAGTTGATTTTCACTCTGTGACTAGAACACTGTACTGTTCGCTTCAAATCTCGACGTTTTATCCACTTAGCTACCGAGATCAGATAACCACAGGCTTGTACAAAGGGATGGAGTTTAATTCATCTCGTATGGCTTGCTTGAGACTAACGGTAATGAATTCGAGTTCCGGAGTGAATATCAGCTCTAGGATGCGGGTACATTCAGCTGACGAGTCCCAAATAAAATGAAACGCGTGTCTTAGATTTCACTACAATCCACCATCTATCTCTCCTTTAAAAATCCATTTTGTTTGTCCACTCAAACACTGAAGTCTAATAAAGTTATTATAAATAATAAAATGAATAACAACAAAGAAAAACAAAAATATTACTTACTTATTAGATGGGGAATTCAGGATAGCACTGGCAATATTTTGTTCCATATAAAATAATAGTGATAATGGGATAGCTATACCGATAGATCCGAGTACGGCAGGCCAACTTAATAAGTTCAATGGGGCTTTGCTCAACATAAAATCGGACGGTTCAACTTCAAATGGTTTTACTGTGGGCAAATTGAAATTTCGAACAAAGTGACTGACTTAATTATAGTATTCTTTAGATAAAGGTAATGCATGTTGCAAAAACGCTTCTATTGTCAGTGTAGTAGATGTTACTCACAAGAATGTTTGTAAGTAGTATGTAACGGAATGTATCGTTTAAGTTGCGACAACCGTCAGACGGAGGGAAGAGTCTCGATGCATAGAAAGCACAGTGTTAGCAGAACACTTGAAGACCAGACGAGAAAACAATTCAGATGATGGAACACACCGAAAGATGCGAATGAGCGATCGAAGGTTATATAGAATAATTTTGTAAATACTCTGTAACTTCTCTCAATAAATGCCTATTCTTCCTACCTATTGTGATGCCTTACAACTGTACTGAACAAAAGATATACTCAACCGACTGCTTAATTCACTTGTTTACTTTTATTTTTACTGCCGTAACTATCTTCTGATTAAGGACTATGTTTTCATGATACTTTCATGATTTTGGTTTTAAGTAGACTGAAATAAAATTTGGTAAAAGCAAACATAGCTATTTATCTGTTTACTTTTATAGACATCATTTTTAAGGACAAAATTACCATATTTGCTTTTTTGTTAGCTTGGAACGATCTATAAAGTATCCAAATTTAGGTAATATAATAGTTTAGCTTCCATCACAATGTGATGTATACTATATATGTCTGTCGACATAAGTAGTATGTAACACTAGTCGGAAATGGAAACCCCAGCAACAGAAAGCTAGGGAAGTTAACTTGAAGAAAACAGAATTAGAAAGGAATTCTAAATCGGAAGAATCATGAAGAATGTGAAAGACCAATGATAGAAATTTTCAAATAAAGTGTTTAATGTATGGTTCTCATATTTTACCAGGATACTCTGTAATTTCCTATTGAAATACATTTTGTTGTCCCCATTTGTGTTTTCGTTCACTAAAACTGCAATATCTTCAGTCTAGTCCGTTCATTGTAGCTTAATTTATTTGTCTACTACAAATTTTGTCATAAGATATGTATAACATAGAAGTCAATCGTTCAGATTATTACAATTTCATGCAACACAATTCAATCAATAGAAACATATTCGACTATTTCACATTTTTATTTATTACAGACAATGTGATAGGATAGGTTAAAAATATGACAATGTTTTTTGAAGTACTCAAACTCGACTCAAATTCCTGGGATGCCTATTATTTTTGTGCATCAGATAATCTAACATCTAGTATGACATAAACGAACGGTTGTTAGTTATAATTTAAAACTTCGATTGAGAAGTTCTTCTTCCTTCCTTTTTTTTACAAAATTTGATTCATTTCGGTAGAACAAACATTTTCAAAACGATCCATGACTATTGATGAGATAATGAGTTATAACTTTATTGTTTTAACATTAAGAAAAAAAAGAGTTTACTTAATGAAAACCCAAATATTTAACATTTATAAAATACATGAGTCTTTTTTCAAAAAAATGAATGTACAAAAAGTACTTAGTTGGATTATATTTTATACTATTTATTCCATAAACAAACGAATTGAACATTTCAAGGTTATTTTTTAATAACAAGATTTTAAACACACTCATATTTACTTATTCTCTTAAAACATATATAGAGACAAGACATTTTCTTGAAAAAAAAAGACTATAGTTAAACAAAACATGAAACACCCACATGTCTTCCTAGTTATCCACCTACACTCTCATTTATGAATCTATTTTTCTGGTCATTTATTCAAAATGTATGTATACAAATGTGCATGCACTGTTAATAATGTTTATCAAAAATGATAAAAGGAGTGTACATCTCATTTACATTGAATAAAATTTCTGTCTAGTAGACTTTGTTTGGTAATTAATCAAGATTTCAATCTGTTGATTTGGATTTCATTTGATATAATAGTAAAAATTATGATGTATTGGTCTTGTAAAAATTTATGTTGTGATTACTGTTTTTATGAATAATTATTTTAATGTCTTTTCTTAATGGTGTTGTAATGAGAAAGAATTTCTTTGTAATAATGCGGTATTTTACTAGTTTCTTTATTGATTTTTACTGCTAAAAAGTTTTCCACTGCATTGTATCTGAAGATTATATTATGGGTAACTTCTAGGAATTGTGTATAGGTCTGGTACGTTCTAGGTTCCAATCTCGCGGGGCGGGATTGTGAATGCGCACTGTTGAGAAGTCTCATACTAGGACAAAACGGCTGTCCAGTGCTTCCAGATTTTCCATGGTTGTCTAGCTTCAATTGACTCATGAATTCAATTATGAAATTACGAAAATCTCCACAAAGACCGTTCTGATAACTATTTATAGACTAACTAAATGTATATTCATATTCCTCTTATTATAGGCTTCCATTTGACCTATTACTTACTATTATATGGTTTACCATTCTTAAGTTATTCCCAATCTATTAGTTACAGTCTCTCACAATCACAGCCACTTTTGGCTTGATCTTTTATAATTATTGTTTTTCATTTTATTGTGTGATGCGATCTGATTTGCTTGTATATAAACTACGTATATCTGAAATGCACTATTCATACAGTAGAGGCTGAGAATTCTTTCTGGACTCAACAGGTAGAGCTAGGCAAGAAAAACGAATAAGGATTCAGAGTTGACACAAGGCTACTAGTTCAGTTTTGACGAGCCATTGTTTCAGTACAAGAACGATGTGAAATAAGTGGGTATTAGGGCTGGTGACTTTATCAAGTAATAATTAGCAGGACAAAAGTCATAACGCACTTCTAGTTGGTAATTTGTTACTAGCCTACCTAAATTAACGAAAAGTGACCATAAAAATGGTGCATTATCCAGTATCACAGATGCACTGTCGTTTATGATTTGTAAGAAATTTCGCTTTTATTCAGTCAATGGTAAAGTTTGATCCTGTTAAGTCAATATAACATTTCATTTAACATAATATTCAATCAACTTACATTTTATGTCACCAAATATTAAGGATCCAACAAGTGACATACTAATGACTGCTATAGGTAAAGCAAAGTCTGTTAATATTTCCCGTTTTGTAGCAGTTAGAAATGGTCTATTAAATAAATAAAAACAATGAAAATTATCAAACAAACTGATATGTCTTGTCGATTGAACGTTACTTGTTATATCTGGTCGTCGCTGATTGTTGTGTCGGAAACGCTTATCACTTATACTCGAAATGAGGGACCTCTACAATTACCACGACGCAAAAGTAGGAACACAAACACTGGTATAAGTAAAGATTTATTAACCCCTAAAACACAACAATGACGACCTATCTGAAAATACACTCATTTATATATTGATTGTACATACACTTTGATGATTAATAATTATGATGAAATCACATATATGAAAAATACTCAGTTATAACAAATCGCATACTGAGCATAGTTCATGTCAATTGAATACAAGAATATCGTATATTATACAGAATAAAATATCATACGGGATAACAGAAACAAATACTGGGTTGGTTAGTCATAACATTGAATCAAAACGGAAGTAATGTTGAAGAAAACTCATAATGAATAAATCTATGGAATTTTGACTTTTCTTCCCATCATATAACAAACAAAAATGATCTCAGCTATTGAAATTACTACAATCTCCACAAAACCCCATTTCGGTACAACATATGCTCATCAGTGACTGGCTTCAAGATGTAAATCCTGGAATTATAGTGAGAAGCAGTGACCAGTGGAGTTCAACCGGGTCAGTTGTGAGGTAGTCACTCACTGATGACAATGGTGGATGTGTCGCTCAATTTCATGGATTGGTTGAAGCTAGACATTAACATTATTGGATACCGGCTGATTCAGTGGTCTAGTGGTTAAGTGCTCGCGCGCGAGGCTGATAAGTTCTGGGTTCGAGTCTCACGAGGCAGGGTCGTGGATGCGCACTGCTGTAAATTTCCACAATAGGACGAAACGGCCATCCACTACTTCCAGGTTTTCCATGATAGTCTAGCTTCAATTGACTCATGATCTCAACCATTGAAATTACTACAATCTACACAAAACGCCTTCTGATACGAAGTAGATACTTCAAAAAAATCACTTATATTCCGTTGCACAGGAACCACTTTTTTCATATTACCAATCTTAAATTTCTAGAAAAATCAATATTAAGTGAACAGGAGGTCAACTGGAAGAATAAATCAATGAATATATTCATATTTCATTGTTTTTTATGATTAACATTGATTGTAAAAACTGAAATGTCTTCTATTTTCTTCTTCTTTTGTATAGTTATATTTCATTGCAGTATACATCGAATAAAGAATTTACAATTAACCATTGTATTCTATATCTATTAATCTAATTTAGAAACTTCCATGTTCATGTAGATGATAAATACTTGTAGTTTTCATGAGTTACATTTTTTTTGAAAAACAATTCTTGTTTTACCCTTTCTATGACATTTTGACATTTTGTCGCCTCGAAGAAAATTCAAAATTTATTAAGTAAATGTATTTGTACTAGACACAATTTATATATGGTAGTGATTTATCAAAATCAAAATAATAAATAAGTGAATAATTCAGTTTAGGGGTTGTAGAGATTGTTAAGTTTTCGATTGAAATCATGAGTCAATTGAAGCTAGACCACCATGGATGCGCACTGCTGAGGAGTCCCATACTAAGACGAAATGGCCGTCCAGTGCTTCTAGGTTTTCCATGGTGGTCTAGCTTCAGTTGACTCATGATTGTAACCAAAATGATTAATTCAGTATTAAAAAAACTAATGAAAATGTATAAACGTTCAAATTATTCAGTAGGTCTTTAGTCGAATAAACTGATTAGGAAATATGCGAACTTTTATATACGAATAAAGAATAAGTGAATAGAAATAGCTAGGACCTAATTATAAGTTGTTATTATATGTATATATTCTTATTGTATAACTATTAAGTAACTATATGGTATGTATATTCATATTCCTTTTGTTATAAGCTTCCATTTGGTCTATTGACTACTAATAAATGACTTACTATTCTTAAGTTATTCCCAATCTATTAGTTACAATTTCTCAAAATCAAAGCCACTTTCAGTCTGATCGTGTTTAATTGTTAGTTTCTATTTTATGGTATGATGCGGTATGATTTGCTTGTATGTAAACTAAGTATATCTGAGATACATGATTCATATAGCCAAGGCTGATATTGGTATTTTGACTGAACTGGCTGGGTTAGGTGAGGAGCTACTATCTCGGTGGACCAGTAAGAACTCAGAGTTGAATCTAGGGTGTTCGTACTGGTTGATGAGTCATTGGTCTGACCAATAAGTTGGTGTTCTAAATGGTGATAATCAACAGGACATAAGAACATAACAACAACGATTTAAAGTTTATTATCAGAAAAAAGTATTGTGGATAGTAATGGTTGAATTTACGAGTCAATAAAGCTAGACAACCATAGAAAGCCTGGAAGCACTGGACAGCCGTTTTGTCCTAGTATGAGACTTCTCAACAGTGCGCATTCACAGTCCCGCCCCGCGAGATTCGAAATCACCATCTATCGGTCTAGCGTGTGGACGCTTAACCTTTAGACCACTGGGCTGGCATTCAGCGGTGATAATATCTAACTTCAACCAATCCACGAAGTTGTGCCACCATCCACGATTGTCTTCAGTGAGCTGCTATCTCACAACAGACCCGGTTGAACTTCATTGTTTACGGCATTGGAATCCACTGATTGCCACTATCCATCCTTGCTTATGATTTCATTTTATGTTTCAAGGATTATATAATGAGAACGTGTATATTTCGTTTCTAAATAATATTGTTTCTATGCTTGTCGTTTTTCATTCTAGAATATGTATATTTTCTATCTAGAAATATTTACATTATTTAACTTATGAAGATCTCTTATAATTCTTCGAAACTTTTTGTGCGTTTTATTAGTCTTCACTTATGAGAATGTCTTCGTAATTATGATATATAATATGTATACTGATTTTATTGATTGGTACTATTATGTTTAGATTGTATAAAGCTTGTGAAGTTAAATGTTTTTACTTTAATCAAAATTATAGATGGGATAAACTATACGACATAACATTAAATATTATTTATGCTTTTTAATGAGCTAAATTTAACTGAAAAATGTAGACTACTTAAATCCACCTTTGTTTCATTATTAATAAAGTTTTGTGAATTTTACAAATTTACCAGACCATAAAGTATTCTAGTTAACAAACTTTGGTAGGTGCATGGTTAGTTCATTTATGGTATAAAACCAAAGAATATATTTGTAGTTTCATTAATAACCATTAACAAGCATTAAAATATATAACAACAATTTCGTGGATTGGTTGGACATTAACTCCGTTGGATAATGCCCCAGTGGTCTAGAGATTAAGCGTTTGAGTGTGTGGTCGATAGGTTCAGTGCTTCCAGATTTTCCATGGTTGTCTAGCTTTAATTGACTCATGAATTCAACTATTAAATAATTAAAAGATTAGAAGATAACTAACGATTCCAATGACCGATTAAAGCACTACGAATCAACTATTTAATAAATATTCATACAAATCACATCAACTATTTCATAACACAATAGTTGTTCAAGTTATCTATTTGTCGTTTGATTAATTCCTTCTAACAATAAGATATAATCATAAATTTTTCTAAAAAGTTAGCCATAACTCTAACACTAATAAAGCAAATTGAATATTTAATATCTATTGATTGAACAGTAATTTTATAGTTGGTGTTTTAATGGTAACAAAATAGTTGATGAAAAGAATTTTATTTGTTAAATATAAAAAAAAAAACAGATTTACAGATCACTTTTTATAGCCTTCGCTAAATGAATATAGATATATATGTATGTATATGCGGTTGCATTAGAATTGAACCGATGGAATTTGTGATCATAAAATCTATATATTAAATAAACAAATGGGAAATAATAATAATAATCTAGTCGTTTATCTATTGCATATCACAAAGAATGCAACATTTATGAAGAAAGAAAATACTATTCCAATATCTTGTACTTATTCATGTATGTATACTTATCTATTTATGTTTATTAAATATATGGATAAAAGTTACTTTTTGTTTCAGCATAGCAACTAACTTAAGGATATGAAAATAGAAAATAGAAATATATATCTGTTAAGCAATATTATATAATATTATATTTAATGTTCATTTTACAAATATTTTACGTTTATTACATAATACTATTTACTGATGTAATTTATTGAAATAGTTTAAATATTATAAAGGATTAATGCATTGAAGTAGATATACATATGATTTTACTTGCAGCTTATATGAATACATTATTATGGTAGAATTGTAATCTAAATTTTGACGTAAAATTATTATTTTGTAGTTATGAACGAATAAATGACTGCCGTTTGAAATCTTTAATATTCATATATCCAGTTACTAGTGAATAATGTTGGAATTTTATAATGTACCAAGAAAAATTCAAATATACTAGTGTAATTGAGCACATAGAGAAATTAAATTTTAATAAACAGTTTTCATTTTGGTCCCAGAAAAAATGAACATTTCAAAATGAAGTGCGAGAGGACTTCAGGAATAAACTAATGTCATTGACTGACAAGGTATATTTGTGGTGTGGGTTACTTATATCCATATAACTAGTATGTGACGGTGGTCAGGGATAGAATGTATTTCAGCAGAAGATCGATAAGGAAAGAACGAAAACGGAAGGCAATTGGTATTAAAATGCATGAACAGTGAAATCGGAGACAATGGACTGATATTTGCAAAAGGGACAGTCAAGATTGAGACGATGGATTGATATTTTGCAAATTAACTATTTACTATATGGTTCTCAGATTTTATTGAGATGATCTCTAATTTTTTGTCTTCACTCGTGTTCTTGTTCACTATACATTTAGCACTATGATTTGTTCAATGGGCTTCTAGACACTTTAAATTAAACCAATTAAGAAATCGATAAGCCATTAGGGTTGTGTTTGACTACATTCAAAACTAATTCGAGCTACTGAAATGATTAATTAACTAAAATTATGAATAAATTAATACATTTGTAATATCCCAAGCAGTA